GATAGCCATCCAGCTAATATAAATATAAATATAGCCACCCAGGTAATGTTGACAATGTCCTAACTCAGGGTGCATTCAGGGCTGGATGGAGAGGAACAGACTCAGATTAAATTCTGGCCAGACTGAGTGGCTCTAGATGTGGACATTTCTTACCTTTGATCCTGAATGTTGCAGCACTTTCACTTTCAAGACTAGTGTACAAGTTTGGGGTTCTCCTGGATCATAGCTGCTGTTTGAAGAGCAGGTGGTAACTGTGGCCAGGAGGGCCTTTGCACAAGTCCCTTGTTTGCCAACTGCACCATTCCTAAAATGGGAGGCCCTCCCATTTTCCCACTCACACTCTAGTCACCTCATGCCTGGACTCTACATGGGGCTGCCCTTGAAGACCATTGAGAAGCTACAGCTGGTCCAAAACACAGCAGCTCAGGCAGTCAAGGGTGTACCTCAATACTGGCATCTCTATTCAACAATGTCATCTAGTGAGACCCCAGAAGCACATTTTAGCTGTCACAATGCCAGCCCTCTTGAAGAGCAATCCTAGAGGCTTGTTTGGTTCCCACCCTATGAGGGTGCCAAAAGTCTTTAAAAACCTGGCTGTGCTTCCAGACCTAGGTTAGACTGTTGGTTGGCCCTGGTGTAATGGTCTATGGAAATGACCTTGGGAGCCAGGAGGAAGAGCCACAATCTAGACAACCATCATGCAAAAGGTATCTCAGCCCACAGGAGGAAAAGAAGCATGGGAAGCATCTCAGAAGGGACCCTCTACTTTTCTGGAAAGTAGAATTAAAGGAAGGGATAGGTACTTTCAGACTTGCAAGATGCTGTTGCTGTGACCTTACTAGTGTTATTACTCATGGTTTGGGCTTCTTGTCTGGACAACCTTGAAGAGCCGACACCTGGTGAGTTTTTTTGGCAATTATTGGGTGTTTTTGTTCTTTTCTTTCTTTTCTTCCTTTTAACTCCCAGGGTCACCTGGGAGATGGGCTGTCTTCCAAATCTAAATAAATAAATAAATATTCCTGGAACCCTTACATTGGCTGTTCCCTGACCTGGCCTTCCTTGAACGGCTTCCACTGATATGGCTCTTTCTTCACAACCCCAGAATTGCAAGGAAGGGGGTTTCTTCCCCAGATGGAGAGGAGTTTGCATTGGGAGAAGTGTTCATCTCTTCTTGATGTGGCCTTTGAACGCTCCTGAAGCCAGTGGTACAGCCAGAGCTGGGCCTTGGGGCAGAGAGTATAAGGCAAGTATTAAAATACCTTAAGAAAATAAGATATAAGGGAAAAAAAGAGTCTTTGGGTTGGGAATCATAACAATGCCTTTTAAAGTATACATGTACTTCAACAAAACGATGATTCATTCTTAGCAATATTACTTCAACTTGCAATATTTATGCAGTTTCATTATATTGTCAAAACACTCTCCTTGCCATCTTCTCTCTTGCATGGTGTCATGTAGGAATGACTGAGATCCAAACTGAAGCCCAAACTAAAAATAAATAAGGACCCACAGAGACACATTTACTCACTTAGGTTAGAATACATAGTTCGAGCTCAGTCACTCTTGATGCAAACATTTCTATGAAGCTCTAGCTGCCATTTCTCAACCAGGACACTATTGCGGCAGCGACACTACAAAGAAAGGGAAAGGAAGCATATTTTGGTCCTTATGTCCATAATATACCCTGACTGGGAGGGAGAAAAACCAAATTTGTGATGAATGTGGCCATTCTTATATCAAACCTGACCTTTGCAGCCAAACCATCATTAACATTCCAGGCACTGTCTTTTGCACACAATCATGGAAACAAGGTCTCTCAAGCTCTAATTGGGCTGATCAGAATTAAGGAACAGACAAGACTGAATAACAAGGGAAGACTCTTCTTTATTAAAAATGTGAGTGAGAGAATTGATTACACAGAGTGAAAGTCTAATAACTTTAAATTAGTGTTTTACATCACAAGGGCAAGATATATGGTGCTTTAATAATCATGGGAAGCAAGGCCACAGTAACAAACATCCATCAGAAGGAACTCCAAAGAAAGTGACTCTGTTAATGAAATAATGTATCCTTGTCCTCTCAATACACCTTTGTTTTTGTAGCTCCAATTCCCTGCCTTATAAAATCTACCCTCTACCGGACCTCACTAACCACCTGCATCAGTCACAAGCATCATCAATCCAATGGCAATGGTCAATCCTGCATGTCATCTAATTACCGCCCCCACCCTTTTCAGGTTCACCCTTCAATAATACAATCAATCAAGACTGAATGGAATCAAATACATTGCCAAGATTTCCACAAAAGCTACAAAATAGCTTTATAAAGAGTTAGAAAGATAGATAGCCACTCTAATGGATGAATCCATTAACATTCTTTCTTTAGCAAACAGGCACATAATTAACCTTCCATCATACTAAATTTTGCACATAACACATGGACCAGTCTTAACTCTGAAACTTTCAGGGATGGTAGCAATCTTCTTTTCTTTTTTACATCTATCACATGCTACTCCTAGCTCCTTCTCATGCAGTATCAATCATACCTTTTCCTTACCATTTGCTCCTTCTTATTTAATTCAGGATGCATTATAATAATGTAGCATTTGGGAAGGAAAATACAACCCA